AGCACAATGGGGCTGCAAATGCAGGCAGAAGACCTCCACATCTGCTGCCGAAGCTGATGTGCTAATGCCTTCGTGACTTGTAAGAAGGTATTATCCTGTCACCGGGGAAATGCTCTAATTCCACAAATACCATTCAGCAGGCCTCCAAATTAGGGTTAATTGAAATTCACAAAAGGGAGAAGAAAGAAAAGATTTGTGGAAAGGAAGCCAGATGGAGGGAGGTGAAGGCCTCTGTTTCTAGATTAAGAGGAAAGACATTTCTCAGATGGTAGAAGTGGATCAGACAGAATCATCCAGCCCATTGTTAAGTGTCTGCAGTTGGAGCCTGATCCAAAGGCCATTGGTGTCAATGGCTTTGCAGCTCTGGCCTTGTGATGTTTAGACAGAATGAGATTATTCCATCCATGCAATTCCTATGCCTAATAGTTTCCGGTTACATTTTAAACGTTAATGAAGCTTAACTTGGTATTTCTTTGCTTTTTTCCCCCCAAGATGACTGCAGGTTGGCTTTATTCTGACAAAATCTGGGTAGAAACATTCGTTTGTCTTTCATCTTGTCTCATTTAATCATTGATAAGTTTTCCCTCCCATGACAGATAAACGCCCCAGAAATTCTGTAAATAAAACTTTAAACCAGGATAGACTGAAAAGCCCAATGCCACTACAAATATAGGCTGGAGACCTGGGCATCTGCTGCTGATACTTCCTATGCAACTCAGAAGCACGATCCTGCCACTGGCGAAATGCTGTAATTCCAGAAATACCATTCAGCAGGCCTCCACATTAGGGGGAATTGAAATTCACAAAATGGGGGAAAAGACAGCTGTGAACACAGCCCTGAGCACAAGGGAACTGCCAGATTGAGGCCGCCTTTATCTATCTGGTCTGAGTGGGCAGCCATCCAACTCCACTGGATCATATTGGGACTTTCCATCCATACCCTGCAAACTGACCCTCACAGGAGGCTGCCTATGCCGAGCCCCATTAAAGTCAACAGGGCTTCCGGCTTGGATCTGATCACAGGACTGGGGCCATACTGACTGGGAAAGGAAAATCCACAGTTTGCAGCTTCCTGCCTTTGGAAATACAGATCAGCCAGAAGACATTGGGGGGTTGTTGTGGAAAAATCACTGGATCAGGGCACAGCTGCATTAAAAAAGGCAAAATAAGTCCAAGGTCCAAAAGACTGTAGCGAGCACATCAGTATCACTTCTTTGCAGTTATGCAGTGAGGGCCAGAATTCCAAATAGCCACAGCTAAGACACTGCGTGTTGGCTGCTTGCTGCTCGCGAAGCAGCCGAGAATTGCCTTGGTCCAAAACACAACAGCATACAATGACAACACTGTCGTGTTTGCTAGTACTGGGGAATACCGTGTGAGCGGCTTTCATAGGGGCTAAAGCAACACAGCTACTAGACAGGGACACCTTTATGGGATATTTCTAGAGACCGGTAACTTTTCTATAGAAGTTTTAAACCAACCTATGGAAGTCTATAGCCAGGATATAATTCTCTGTTAAACCCGATAGGATTATCTAAATTTTAAATTGTCTACAGAAAGGAGATCATGGTCTATTCACCTGTATAGGACTTTTACAATTCTACAGGATTTTAAACCCAGGTTGTTTTTAACACTATTAAGTTCTATAGGACTTTTCCCACAATGGAATTGGAGATTATTCCCTCTGGAAGAGGAGACATTGCAGTGACCTAATTAAGACTTTTAACATTATGAAAGGGAGAGATGTGTGGGAGTGTATTTACACTGGTAAATGTTTAGAAACTAAAAGTATCGACGCTAGGGGAATGTAGGACTCACTAGCAGAACTATGTCCTGCAGAGTGTAAGGCAAAGATGGTACTGTAGTAAATTGCCAAGAAAGGCAAAGCAGAGACTAACTGAGCTCAAGAACCATCTCCATTTGTTTCTGAAGAGATTAAGGGGGCGTGATGAGAAAGCAGGAAGATGAGATCACAGTGAGCCAAACATAGACCAGCATGTTGGGTCACAGGGACATTTCTTATTTCTAAAATTTCTTACACTCTGAACTTCATGTTGAATGACTAGATTAATAAAAGCCTTTAAAACCCTGGTGAGTGGATGGATTGCCCTAATGCTGTCAAGTTGTAGGAACTCCCAAGGACTCCTGCATTTAAATCGGGCTAAATCCTATGCAACTATCTGAAAGCAGAGAAGTAAGAGACTAGCATGTCAACAAAATGTGTATGTTGCCTACACTGCGCTAAAAACCCTGCAGCACTGAGTCTCAGAGCCCGAGTCACTCGATTCAGGCTTGCAGGGCTCAAGCTGCAGGGCTCAGAATTGCAGTGTAAACATTTGGGCCTGGGCTGGGGCCCAGGCTTCTGCCCGAGCCTGAACATCTGCAGTGCAATGTTTAGCCTGAACCCGCTGATCCAGGCCAGCCCCAGGTCTTTTATTGCAGTGTAGAGGTACCTCACAGATGAAGTGAGCTGTAGCTCACGAAAGCTTATGCTCTAATAAATTGGTTAGTCTCTAAGGTGCCACAAGTCCTCCTTTTCTTTTCACAGACAATGCGGCCTCACAGCTAGATCAGGGAAAGGTATCAAGAGACACCTGAGTTCTAGTCCCAGGCCTGCCACTTACCCACCGTGACCCTGGGGGAGTCACTTCCCACCTCGGTGCCTCTGTCTCCCCATCTCCTTGGGTGCATTGTGCTATGTGTCTTTTGGTGCACGGATGCAAGAGCTATCACACACTTACTTGGAAGAGGCAAGAGTACGTCTCCTGGTTTAAAATGAAAAGCTGAGCACTTTATGGGGTATTTTCCGGCCATGATTGTAAGCAGTCATCAGTTCCCCTTTTAGACTTAAACACTTACCAGGAAGACCAGGCAATGCAGCAAGAGGGTGTAGAAAAACGCAACAGTGCGAGCTGCCTTGCTGGACAGGATCAGCCGCCCCTACAGCAAGATCAGAACGAGAAACAGATTCAGCCCAGTTAAAGCAAAATTACTTTGGCCACATTATTTTTATTGTTACATTAACCGCTAGAGGGGCGCCAGCTGAGCTCAGGACCCCAACGTGGTAAGCGCAGAACACACACAGCAGGAGACAGTCCCTGCCCTACAGAGCTTCCAGTCTAAATGGACAAGACAGACAAGTGGGGGGAGAAAGGAAGGATTCTGATTCCCATTTTACAGATGGGGAAGCGAGGCATCAGGAGAGAGCAAGTCACTTGCCCAGGGTCACACAGGGTCTGTGGTGGAGCAGGCATCTGAACTAGGTCTGAGCCACTGGAACCCTGAGAGGAGGCATGTTCCGTTCCAGGCCAGCCAGAATACCGTATATTTGTTTAAAGTTGTTTACTTTTAAAAACTTTCTTGCATGTTTCAGAGGTAACCAATTCTTTGTACCTGGACAAGGAAGATCATTCTCCTGATTGCCTCATTCTGTTTCTCACTCTGGCCCACTTCATTCCCCTCTCTCCGTAAATCCAAGCAGCCTTACCAAACCTGTAAACAGTGCGTTAAACCTGTGTGCTCAGAGTACATTAAACAAGGTTTCATTTTGTGGCTTTATACCCCAGGCAGCATGCGCCACACACCTGCTCAGACAGACAAAACAGAACCTGGAAGGTATGATTAACGGGTCAGTCCTGCAAGGTGCTGAGTTCTCTGGCCCCAGCAGGCTCAGGGTTTTGGCAGCAATGGGTAGGTCTGCACACCAAGTCTCCGAGTCTCAGAACCCTGGTCAACTGATTCAGGCTGCAGGGCTAAAGAGCGTAGTGTAGATGTTTGGGATCAGGCTCTGAAACCCTGCAAGAGGGAAGAGGCTCAGAGCCCCGGCTCCAGCCCAAATCCCAACCTCTACACTGCTACTTTTAGCCTTGCAAGCCTGAGTCATCCAATTTGGGCTCCGAGACTCGCTGCTGAAGGTTTTTTTATTTCTGTGTAGATGTACCCAATGAAACTACTCATATGGAGAAAGTTAAGCAAGTGCGTAAGGGCTTTGCTAGATAGAGATGAGTGCTCAGAGCCTTGCGAGTTTAAGCCCTGCCCACATACTCCAGCTGCTGTATAGCTAATGGAGGTGATGATTTCAGGGGGCTTTCACATCCTGACATCTGCAGTAGCAAAGCTCGGATCCGAACACTCTGGGGAAGTTTGCATCTGGATCCAGCAGCTCAGACACGTCTCTAAGGAGGTTTGCATAGCTCAGCCTAGACACAGTATTTGCATTTACACAAACTTCCCAGCCCCTTTGCGCCTTCCTTCTCCTGGGTTCAGGGATGTGAATTTATTCTATGTTGTTAATTAGCAGCAGCAATGAGAAGAAAAAATTACAGGCAAAATAACTGTTCCTGGCTGAAACGTGCTCTTTACATAGCAAGTGCCAGACTAGACCATCTAGATCGGTGTCCTCTCTGACAGAGATCAGCAGAGCCTTGGACCCAAAGGAAGGGAGAACCAGTGCAGCGGGCATGAGGCTGTGGAAGGAGCAGACTGTGGGAAAGCGTGCTCAGTCCATGTACAACTGTAGCATAGACACGGTTTGGAACCAAGAGCAGGGCTCTGCGAACTGGCTACACGGATCCCCTGACTAAATACCTAGCATATCTGGAGAGGGCAGTAGGGGGAATGGGGTAGTGGGCAGGGAGCCTGGTGCTTTGAAGTCCTCACAGTCCCTGTGTTGACTTGGGCTGTGCCCAATGAGGGAAGCCCTTGGCCCTCATACTGAAGAAAAACACAAGCCATTAGGAGTTCAGGATGCCCCAAGAGGCCCCTCCTGTCTTTACCAAAGGACCGGGTTGGTTTTTCCCCAGTTAATAGTTTGTTTCCCCTGTTTTCTGATGTTTCACAGTTAGTCCCTGAGCTGCTGACTGGTGGGCATGTGGGTAGGCATTTCTCACCTGGGGCCCTCAGAGACGTCCCTCTGCTGCACACTGGTGAGCAGCATTCAAGATGAGCTCACTGTACCAGGTTTTTGCGGGGTAACTAACACTCACCTTTTCCCATCCCAGGTTGTGAACTATGGTCCTGTGCAGCCCCCACCTGAGCCTTTTCAAGGTAAGCGACCGATAATGACATTCATACACATTAGATACTTTACATGAAATCTGTGCTGGGGAGCTATCCCTGGAGACTGTCCCCTCTGTGTATCTCCAGGATGGGCATCTACACTGCCCTGCTAAAATGCCTCAACTTCGACCCAGCAGGCTCATTGGTAGAGATGAAAGGGAGATTCAGCCTTCATGGCCATTGAATCCTGGCCAGGATGTCATTACAAATTGTGATATGCACACCTGTTCTTACAAGAACTGTGTTGCCATCAAACTGCTCATTTTGGAGAGCAGCAGCAAACAACTGTCAGGTGTTAATGATGTTCAGTCACTACTGACCTGGGTCAAATCTGAGCTGGTGACTAAAATGGGAAAATCTCCATAGCCTGCTCCTCTGGGACATTCAGGATGCCAGGGAAAACCTAAAACCCCTATCATCATCCAGGATGGAATTGTTTTACAAACATGGGGTCAGAATTTATCTCTGCTTTAACAGTAGAGACAAATTCTGGACAAAAGTAAATTCTCATTTAAGCCCCCAAAATTCTATCAGGGGATTTCACAGGATGGAATTAAAGAAACAAAACCCACAACCAAACCAATTCGTTGCTGATGTCCTTTCAGCTACTCAAGGCAATGGAGATCACTACTGAAACAAACAAGATTATGTTCTTAAATATCCAGAGGAATAACTCCCTTAAGTCCGCTTTTTGTAAATGAGTTGTATCGATTCACTGAGGCGCTAGCATTACACCTTATCCATATTCATGTTGGCATTTGCTTGGATTTTATGTGAATGGTGCAAAGACTGTTTTGCTTGTAATACAGTATATTTTTGTACTGTAGCCAACAATCCCAGATGTTTAACCCCTTTCATGCTGGACTATCAACGCATTACAACATTCAACCCAGTGCCTGAGGCTGCTAACATCACAAACTCAAATTTAAGTCAAATCTTGGGAAAAGCAAGATTTAAATTTGAACTTGGACAACACATTTGTTCAGGGAGGGCAGTGGGAGTTTTGCTATTGATGTCTAAAGTAGCAGGATCTGGCTCAGAGAGTAAGGTTGATAGCGACAGCAAGAGATGTCACCCAGGGGCCAGTCACATGGCAGTAAGGCACCAGTTCTCTGCCCTCCGTTTCCCCCAAGGAGGCTCCACCTCAGGCCCCTTTGATTTGGAACAGCCCTATGTTCTTCTCACTAACTCTAGCTGATGTTAAAAAGAGCTACATGCACATACCCACTGAACAGGAGCCCGTTCCCTCTCCACGTGCTGCATCCTACAAGCCAAATGAAATAGATCTGTTCTGATGGACATAACTGCCCGGCTCGCAAAGTATCCAGGAGCTCGATGCGTTCTGACTGCTGAAACCAAACACACCCAGGCTGCGCTGTGCGGGGTTTCAGCCGCTAGAATGGAAATACACACCTTGCGTTGAGTTGTGAAGCACCTTCCAGCCCACTCTGCCAGCTCCACACCTCCTCCCACTGCGTCGCAGAGATGTTACTATTCCAGACACATTCATCCGGTGGCCTCTGCTCGATACCCAGAGAGGGTTTTTATAGCTCTCTTTGAGGGAAGAAGCAGGATGGGGAGGGAGGATTATCTGCCAGCAGGTTTAGTTTTGCAAGGAAGCTTGAATAACGAAGAGGCCACCAGATGGCTAGTGATACCAGCTGAAAAGTCAGTTGGCAACCATATCAGATCCATCTCTGTGCAAATCAACAACTGCTGGGTGGTGTAAGAACGCAGAGTTAGGACAGCAAATTGGCAATTTCTGGGCCAAATGCTAAAGATCCCAGGGGTCTGGGCTAACACCATTGGAAATACAAAATAATCTTAATCTGTTTGATATTTCTCAAAGGTCACTCCAGCCACCCAGGCATTACACTCTGGATCCCAACAGCAATCGGATCCTGTACCCTATGGTACTGTGCCCAGTTACCTCTGCAGCTCTAGTTTAGAGCCTACCTTAATTAGTATAATCCCAAATCCAGTCGCAGGTGCTTGTCTACACTTGTGCTCCCTAACCAGTGAGAATTTTGTTGTCAAATTCCCAGTTTAGACAAGACTTATCCGTGTTACGGGGGAAGGCCATCACGAGAATTCATTTTCCTCTTGACTCCATCGACTGGCAGGAGGAGACCGCACCTGCTGAGAGTGCTAGGATACCTCCACCTTGCAGAACCACTGCTTTTCTTTCTTTAGGAACAAATGTGCTTAAAACTTGTTATTTAGCAGGAAACCTGTATAACCAAAGCTGCTCTACCCAGCGTGAGTGTTAGTGAAGAGCAGAACTGGGCTATGAGGCATCACACTGGATAGAATTCTGCTTATCTGCATTTTAGAAGCATCATGCTCTGGAATTCATTTTCCCCTCCTCATTGTTCTCCCCTGTTCACTCTTCTCATATCTCACCTTTAACCCCTCCCCCCTTGGATTTAGCCTCAGGCAAAGGCTAAATCACCTTCCCCTTTCCTCCCTGTAATTAGTTTACAAGAATGCTTATGTCCATTATTACCCCTTTGAAATTACAGCTTCCTTTACCCGCTGGTCTCCTCCTGCCACACTGTGCCTTGCACTCTGCATACGCAACTATGCCAAGCATTTGCTCATTATTTAGTCTCTCATTGTAAAGCATTGAGAGGCACTTTGTGTGAAGGATGCTAGATAAAAAGTAAATTAAACTGAATTATTGGGCTCTCCAACAGAGTTAGAGAGATTAGACGCAGAGCAATGACCAGTGCAACTCAGGTTCAGGATCACCCTGAATCATTTGGAAAGGAGAAGTGTCAGTGGCACTTTAAACATGTTCTACAAACAGCAGTAAAGCCAGAGAGCTGGGGATTTACTGCACTGTACAGGCTTTGTAGTCTCTCTCACTTCATCCGGGATACAGACTAACCCATGGATGTTCTAGTGGAGTCAGCCGGTGGGAAATCATGAGATTATTTTCAGACAAACTGTCCTTGAAGTCCATGGGAATTTTGCCCAAGAAAGCAGCTCAGGAGGTGGTCCCCAGAGACAGAGTTCAAACAACATTCAGGTACTATCACCGCCTCTTTAGAAAGAGATTTAGTGGAAAAGTTTGTGAGGGACTCACGTAGCCCTGAGAAGATGCAGCATCAATCTTAATCCCTACCGATAGCATGCCATCTAATTGAGAGGTGGGATCAGGTCTGGATTTCTGACACCAAACAGCCCAAAAGTCCAGGTATGGGGGATAGTGGAGATTCTGCTCAGAGGTGTCAGACTCTGGGCTCAGGCTAAGAAACTGGAGTTTGGATTTTGAAATCCCATAAAGTTTGGGTGTTGAGATTTGGGATTCCAGTCCTGGCTCCTCTCCAGTAGTGACAATGCCCTTACGTTTGCATTTTTGCTTTCAACACACAGCATAAACCAACGTGTCTATTTTATGGTTCTAATAACATTCTTAATGTGGCTTTATATGGTGTTGGTTTTCTCTTTTCCAGTCATTGATTTTTCTTCTGACCATGATTAACGTATTTACTGGTGCCCAATTGCACTTTTTATGCATTTCCTCTAGATAAGGAAGTTACTTGCCTTGTTGTAACTGGAGATGTGTGGTCCCCATTTCTAGTCCACTGTGGGGTCCGCATGCAGTCTGTGCACCTGAGACCAGAGAATTTTTGCAAGCTGTGTCCACTGGTCCCTGGCTCTGCTTGTCCTCCGTGCTGAGGGTATAAGGGGCAGTGCATACCAGTTCCTTCTCTTCTGTGAATCCAGTCATGATCCAAAGCGGAGGGGAACAAGGGCAAGTAGTGGAATACAGATATCAAATCATCATAACCATCATCAGATCTGCATAGTCTACTGAGGATCATTGGGCCAGCCAGAGTCACCATGGTTGATGGCATTGCACCAGGCATCACGTAGCGAATTTCCTAGATCTAGATCAATCCTGCAAACCCATGAATCTCTAGGGCAGTCCTGTGCATGCAGAGCCGTCCCTTGGGTTCGGCAAATTGGGGCAACTGCTCTTGGCCCCGTGATTTGGATGGCCCCATGGGCCGGTGTGATTGGCTGGTACGGTCAGTCCTGGAAGTGATGGATTTGTCACATCTGCTCCGGGTCCCGCACCCCCCGTAGGGGCGGCCCTGAGTGCGTGGCTCCAGGTCGGGTTACAGTGTGCACCCCTTTGCACATTTATTGAGAGATTGGGAGCATGGTGTGCTGGTGTGTCTTTGTCCATCCTGGGAAAGTGGTCAAAGAGCATGCAAAGTTGCGGCTGAATATAATGAGCAACTGAAGGAGGGCCAGATGTCTGCGAGATTGTGGCCTTTTACACAAAGTCAAACCACTTTATGTGCAAGATTTGGCGCTGATAGCATATGGAATGCCTCTAGCCACTGCAAGTCTATCAATAAGAGGCGCCAAGTTTCTGACTGGTATAGCAATACAGGTAGTACACAGGTTTGATAGATCCTGAACTTTGTCTCAGGGCAAAGATGGTTTTGCATCCATTAGTGAGATATGGGTTTCATGCAGGAAGGTGGTAAGACCTAGTTATTGGAGGATGTCCAGTGTATGACTGTTTGAACTTTGCTTACAGCCTACTTAGATGAACTCATCAACACTCTCCATGGTACTCAACCCCACCTGCACCAGGGGTTCTGGTGGCCTAACTCTGATATTCTGGACCTTTGTCTTCTGCCATGAGACATTCAACCCCATAGTGCAGTCAGTGTCTTGCAGACCTTGGAGGGCAGGGCTGATATTCTCGGTCTTCTGCACAAGCAAGGCGGCATCGTAAGCATAGTGAGCACTTCTTGACCAACCTTTATTTCGATGTACGGAGCAGCAAGTCCTAATATCCAGTAGATAGCTCGACAGACTAGTGTTGGGGCAAGAATGCATCCCAGCTGCACACCTGAGGTTGTGTAGGAATGTGGCGAAACCCATGAACCAACGTGCACAGTCACACTGGTACCGGTGTGAAGATTTAGCAGAATATCTGGAACACCAGCTCCTTTCAGTGCGAG